CTCTCTCTCTCTCTCTCTCTCTCTCTCTCTCTCTCTCTCTCTGTTCGCAAGAAATTCCGTAAGTTCGATGCAAAAGCAGGGAAAGTAAACAGGTCAATCCGTCAAAATGAATGTCGAAACGAGCCGCAATTTGGAGCCGCCCGCACCACCTCGCCGCGTGCAGCGGCGTGGGTTTCTGTGTCGCTGGTACGCCATCTGTGCCATATGGGTGTGCCTGATACTCACCTACCAGTACACGCGACGGAAGCCGAAGTCGGCCGCTGCGCCGGGGGAAAAAGAGGTCCGACTACGGTTGCGGAAACATAACTTTGAAAGAATAAAGCGTGCCGAGGACAGGAACGCTTTTTCGCCAATTTTACAACGGCACCAGAACGAAGAGGAACCTGGTAAAACAGACTCCTCAGCCTCCCCTACGAAAGTTGCAGACGCGTCGTTGAAGGATTCTCCCGCAGATCTTCACAACTCTGGCGGTACCAACAAGGAGGATGTAAGAATACAAGACTTGTTCGGAGCAGGCGGTGTCATGCGCGATAATGGAGCACTAGCCGCAGGACGAAGAACACATCAGAGAACGAGGCCAAAACAGTCCACCGCGGTTTCCACGACCCTTCTCGTTTCGCCCCTCAACGGCGGTGCGGAGCAGAAGTTCCCTGTGTACATTGACACGAGGTCACCCGCGCTCTTCGTTCCCGATGCCAGTTGCGGGGACTGCCCGAGTTCCGTCACGAAATTTGATTCAGGTGAGGATACGGCCAAGAAAAAAGTAAAGAGCGTCACGGTGGGGCGACTCGGGGTCGTTTCCGGCTACGCGGTCGAGACGAAGGTGGCAGTAAGCAGCAGTGTGTTTGTCAACAAGCAGCCGGTTCTGTCCGCGTACGAGCTGCCCCAGAATCTACTTCCCTCCGGGATCACGGGGTATTTGGGATTAGGGAAGTTGAGTCTACCGCTAGCGAAAGACTCCTTTCTGCTGAACCTGCTGCTGCCAGACAGGTCGGGAATGAGCGGTAAGATGGTACTTTCTGTTCGATGTTCATGTTTCTAGAAGTTTTCTGAACCTGCGCTGCAAGTTGTATGGCGTGCGAGTAAAGAGCATATTGCTTTGTAATTAGGTTTACGTTGAAAACATGACTAAGCACTGAAGACAGACTGAAACAAAAACAGGAGCTGTCACCGAGGGCTACTTCTATGTGGACTACCAGAACAGCGCTGCGCCGGAGCTGGTGCTGACCACTTCGAAGCCCGACGCCAGTCGCTACGATGCAAACTTTGGGGCAAACTGGCTGCCGACGTTAGAGGTGGAGCGCTATTCTCAGTGGTTTGTTCTCGCGAACTCGCTGACAGTCGCCAACAGGACTACTAGCAAGAAAACGGATGCAGTCATCGGTAAATTGTTTGCTTGTTGCTATAGTGGTTTGCAGTGTCCGCAACGATGATCTGGGTGCGAATCTGGGAGCTTCGCTCAAGCGTTTCGCTTAAGCGTTTCGCTTAAACGTTTCGCTTAAGCGTTTCGCTTAAGTGCTTCGCTTAAGTGCTTCGCTTAAGTGCTTCGCTTAAGTGCTTCGCTTAAGTGCTTCGCTTATAGTGCTTCGCTTAAGTAGTGCTTCGCTTAGGTAGTGCGTCGCTTAAGTAGTGCGTCGCTTAAGTAGTGCGTCGCTTAAGCAGTGCGCTACTTATCTAGTGCGCTGCTAAAGCAGTGCCTCGCTTAAGTAGTGCCTCGCTTAAGTAGTGCCTCGCTCAAGTAGTGCCTCGCGTAAGTAGTGCCTCGCTTAAGTAGTGCCGCGCTTAAGTAGTGCC